CCCAGGCCGGTGGGGAGGGAGCCGCGGGCACCGTGCTCCCTGCGCTCCTCGCCCATCCCTCCGGGGGGTCACCTTGTCGGGGGTCGTGTCGTTTCGAGTCTCCACTCCCCCATTTCCCACCCCCTCCCACCTCCCGCGGCGGGGAAAAGACATGTTGGGTGTGGTTTCTTGACATTTTTAGCCGTGAGGTAATGCAAGGATTAAAAATAATATTTTAATCACCAGTGGATGGTGTCTACGATGAGGTCTTTGGGAACAGAGCTGTAGTTCGTTGTGGTGGTGGTTTTAAATTTAATATAAAGAAGCGGATTTGGCTTACAGGAAAAAGGACATCGACTATGGAGCACACACTGGAACCTTAGTTTTAGGTTTCTGTAGATCACCCTTGGGGAATCCATGTTCCTTTCATTATTCAAACATGTTACTGAATGGGTTGAATACAACATTGAGGAAGCCATGACTGCGAGGTTCCTAATAGGTCGGATATTAAGTGTAGTATCATTAGTGTGACTTCACTCCAGAGTATTCGAGTCATAGTATGTCCATCTTTCGGTCCGGACCCGGGTGTTTTCTATGCTTTGGGAGTTGCTGTTGGGTTTAAAAGGGTTTTCGATCTCTTTACATTTAGTCGTCTGGCATTTATTGGCCGTCTTGTCATTGGGACAACTTTGACCTCGCTTCAGACTTCTTAGGAGATTTGAGTCTGAAAGTTCTTTGTCATTTTACCGAATTGTAAAGAGAAATGGTAGTCATCCTTTCCTTAGGATAGTTTCCTTGTAGTCCTCAGACATCTTAAAGAAAGCCTCATGTTCCTTTTGCAAGCAGTCTTTTGGTGATAGGTTTTTTTTAGAAAATTTCAGGAGTGAATTGTACATATAATCCTTAAATTTGGTTTAGGGTGGCCAAATGGATTATGCCTTTAAAAATGAGTCAAGGACAACATGACAGTTTTCAATTACTTTCTTATTTTTATAAGTGTACTTTTCATATTCAATAAATTTCTCATCGCCATGTTAGGGATTGCTTGCTTATTTCCATTTAAAAAATCTACATTGGGAAAATACTAAAAGAAAATTTGAAGTTTCCTTTTGTGCTGTTGATATTTTTTTTATTAATGTCTATTATGTTTATGACACATCTATATAGTTGTGTTAAAATAACTGGAATTTCTGAATTGTATATATTTGGGAACTTATATTTTAATATTATTTGCCACTGCAAGTTCTTTTGGGATAAAAAATGATTTTTATTAGATTTCTTTATATTGTGTTAGCTATTTAAATTCTCTAGCCATAAGTCACGTGGTTGCTGTAAAATATGTAGAGAGTAAAAGGCCTTAAGCTTAAGCAGTCATTCTAAGAGCAGAAATCTCAGAGCATAGACTTTTAAGTGTTCTTTGTTATTTTTTACCTTTTTAGCATCCAGATTCTCATTTATGGTTGACAGGCTTACTATTTTGTGATCAGAACTGATAAAATAAGAGAAAGAACATTGATTTAAAAATAAACTTAATGTCTATTTGGTAAATAAAATATTAGAATAATCTCCCTTAAAAGGGATGCATTAAAAGAATCACTGTTTAAAAAGTGGTTTAGACTTCTTTTTTCTTTAGTATTACATAGCAGCACATGCACACATTTGTGAAGCTGGATTTCAGAGTAATAATAATAATAATAATAATAGCAGCTAGTATTTATTAAGTGCTTGCTGTGTGCCAGCCAACTATTCTAATAGCTTGACAGGTATTTTCTCATTTCATCCTCAATTCTATACTGCAGGCTTAATTATGCTCTTTTTACAGAGAGGGTGAGTGAAGTACAGAGAATTTAAATAACTCACCACACAGTCAGTAAATTGTGGAGTCAGAATTGTAGCCTGGACTCTTACTTACAACATTAATGATAACGACAACTTCTCACTCTAATTGGGAACATGAGATAGAGTAGTGCCTTCACCAGATCAGCCTTTGCAAAGAAGTAGAGACACTTGACATGATCTTTGTACTGCAGTGATTATGTATGCAAATGTCATGGTTCTAAGTGTGTAAAAGTTTGCTTAATATTGGAGTGACTAGTGCAGTTTCATTAAATGCAGGTGACTAAAGAGGGGTTGTGTAGATTTGGGGATATATAGATGCAGTGATGTAACCAAACAGGTACAAATAGTGCAGCTGAAAGGAAAAAATACTGGAAGGCACACTGATACCACATTCATCTTTGGGAGTCATGGTTAAATCTTTTATTTATTTACTAGAGGCCTGGTGCATGAAATTCATGCACGGGTAGGGTCCCTAGGCCTGGCTGGTGATCAGGGCCGATCTGTGGGGTGACCAGTGGGGTGATTGGGGACCCCTGCTGGCACCCGCTTTGGCTGGTCTGGCACTGCCCACTTGCGGGCACCGCCCCTGGCCGCAGCCGCCTGTCTCTTCCTACTGTGGGGCAACTGGCAGGGTGATCCGGGGGGGCCCCTGCTTGCACCTGCCTTGGCTGGCCTGGGGCCTGTGGGATGGGGGCAGCTTCTGTGTTGAGCGTCTGCTCCCTGGTGGTCAGTGTGCGTCATAGTGACTGGTTGTTCCACCAGTCTTTCTGCTGTTTGGTCAATTTGCATATTAGGCTTTTATTATATAGGATTTATTTATTTATTTAAAATATATTTTTATTTCAGAGAGGAAGGAAGAGGGAGAGAGAGATAGAAATATCAATGATGAGAGGGAATCATTGGTCCGCTGCCTCCTGTATGCCCCCCACTGGGGATTGAACCCACAACCCAGGCATATGTGCCCTTGATCGGAATCAAACCTGAGACCCTTCAGTCTGCGGGCTGATGCTCTGTCCACTGAGCCAAACCAGCCAGGGCAATCCTTTATTTATTTTGAATCCCACTTTCCCACTTATTCTATCTAATTCTTGGCTTCCTTAATTCTAAATAATGGGTATGCAATACATTAGAATTTATAAAAATATGATGTGCTTTTTTGGTTTAAAATGAATTCTTTATTTTAATAAAAAGATACAGTACAATACCATACTTATTTAAGGGTCAGCTTCTGTAAGAAAAAAAATTTCTTTCTTTGAGAATAAAAAGTTGTCATGCTTTATTTAGGTGGTAATAGTTAGAGATAACATATCTAACTCTATATCCCACCCCACCCAATGCAATCCCTTGTGCAGGTTTAATTACCCTTTACTTCCAGTCTTAGTTCCTGTCCTTCTTATTCTTGCCATTGTCAGGGTTTAGGAAATTTTCCTTTTATCCCTTTAGTTGGCTGGTTGAATAATTAAAATGATTTACAACAAATTAACAGGAGAAAATAATATTTTAGTACATGTGCATGGTAAATTCACATAAGCATGAAAATTCTGAAGACAGGCACATGAGGTATATATGTCATTCTTTTTTTAAAATTGATTTTAGAGAGGAAGGGAGAGGGAGAGAGAGATACAAACATCAGTGATGAGAGAGAATCACTGATTGGCTGCCTC